AGTTGGAATGCCGCCGGTGAATCCACCAACAAAAAAGTATCGGTCAAGATCAAACCCTGTGAGAAGGGGAAGGCCCTTGCTGGACAAAAAACAGGTGCGACAGGTGCCACGCTCTCGGTCACAACGACGAGTGCAACCGGCGGAAGTGGTGGAAAAGCCGAAGCCACTGGAACTGAAGCCTCGTGGTGGGTTGTCGTATCGGTTCAGCAGAGCGTGGGCAGATGTGGTGGATGATGATGAACAGGCGGAGGCTTTGGTCTCGTATGCCGCTTCCTCAAGCGATTCAAGCGAAGAGGAGACCAATGCCGTACAACGCCTGAAGGAAATCTTTTTGCAAGAAAGGGATTCACAGAGAACTGCGAATCGTGGCAATGTTCCGCAAAGTGGTTCTTCAGGCTCCAATGACGGGCCGAAAAAATCGGTTCACCTTGGCGAAGGGCGCGACAAAGCGTCGCGGGGGGAGACCCGCCAAGAAGTGACTTCACAAGTTTTTTCGCTACCACAACCTTCTCGTCGAGCTGAACGGTCTCAAAAAAGAGCAAGGGATGGTTCAGTTATGGTTGGTTCGCTGGCGGTGGGCTCCACGGATGAGGTTTTACCTGGGCAAGGTGTTGCTGGACAGGTGAATGTCTCTGAAAGCGCTCAAGTTCTTCCTGGGCAAGAAGTGGCTGGACAGGAGACGGCGCCGGAAGGAGCAGTACAGATTTCTGGCGAGGAGACTGACCAAAAAGAAGGAGAAGGTGGGAGCAATGACCTCCGTGGTGATGATGCGAAGATGTTGGATGGTGGTCCGGTGAGGAGTGACCTTCAGCAATTGCTGGTTAAAGGCCTTCTGACTCGGATTTATTGGAAGGTTGCAGTTGGCAAGTTGCCGGTGGGGCAAAGAGACTGCCAAAAAGGGTCCAATAAGATGGATCGAAATTTGGTTATTAGCATGTCATCCGAAGGTGCAAGCGAACAGGATGAGAACCTGGCACTGGAGGACGATGCTGATCAGTCAATGGGTGACGGTGCGATGGTTGTTCTGGTGTATGATCCAAGGACGCTGATTCAGTCGCCAACAACTGATTGGGTTATGCGTCGCGGTCTTACCGATCGTTCCGTCTGGCCAGCAATGGCGTACATGGCACAGAGGATATGTGCTGAAATGGTTCAAGTGGATGAAATGAATGCCCAGCTAGGGACTGGAGCACTCCTTTTTCAAAGGAGAGATCAAGGACATTATACTGACCTGCATCATTCGTTCCATGAAAACCCGTGCTTGCCGGCGGTGGGGAATTATCCTCTTTCAGTGATGGGTGCTTTGTTGTCTCCTGGTCTGGAAGGGGAATTCAAGAATACTGACAAGTTTGGAACTGCTATGGAGGCAATTGCCTATGATTGGAGCCGCAGTCCAGGCATGGAAGTTCATATTGAACTTATGGCGAGGGTAGCCAAAATGGTTCACCCATTCCTGAATCTGGGAGCCCAAGGGTCGGTGATGGTTTCGGAATTTCTCTGGCAGCGCGGAAGGGCTCGGTTGATGGAGTTCCTTCAAGCGGCGACATGTGCGGACCAATTGGAGGCTCTCTGGAGAAGGATGGACGACGATGCTGATGAAGAGGTGGATCCTTCGACAGCGGTGCTGGAAGTTCTTGGATCAGAGGGTGCGGTGCTTGATCAAGGGAACAATGAATCCCTTATTCCCATTGAAGATGCTGGAGGTGAGATAAGTGGTGACACTGGAGGGGATGGCAAAGCGCCAGAAGTTTCTCCGGAAGAGGAGACATCCAGTGGGTCATCAAGACTGGCGGACACAAGGATTTTCTTGTGGTCAGTGTACTCCCGCGTGGCTTCGAATTTCTCTATGCAGGACCGCACTACTGGTAAGATCTTTGACAGCACAAAAGGGTATCCTGGTGAAGGACCAAACAATGATGACAATCCTTCCTCTAAGGGGAACTTACCCTGGATCTCAGAAGACTACCTCGACGAAGTGGTGTCAAAAAAGATGGAAAGGTCTTCAGATATGGATGGGTTTGTTCCGGGAAGTGAGGGACCATTGGAAAAGGTAGAGGTGGAGAATGTTACTGCCTCTAAAATTCTTATGGCTCTTTGGAAGAAGGGACATAGAGTTGGGTTTAGAGGTTGTGTCGTTTGAATGCATCTGGATGCAAGGTTGGAGCAATGAAACGTCCAATCAAAAGGGTGCAGAAGATTGGCGCTAGGAAGGCCTTCATGAAGATGTTCAATGTTTTTGGATCGTCTCAGCATGGCTCAGGAGTTGGCGGAAAACCGATCATGAAGGTGGTAGGACCAAGGCCAGGTTTTCCAGCTGTACTCCAAGCACCAAATACTGATAGCACGTCGGGTGAAGGGAGCAGTCCCCAGGTACATGGCAATGTTCATGTAGAGCACAATCGCCCTATGGACCGGTATGAGGCAGAGCGCTTGGAGAAGAGGAAGAAGGGTTTCTGCTATTGGTTCGGCAGGGGGAAAGATCGCTGCAAATTCGGTGACGACTGCAAATTCATCCATTCCGAAGATGATGTGGTGCTACATTCATATTGGTGCAAATACTATGTGGCAGGGAGAGAATGTTTCGCTGGAAAGGATTGTGAGTTCTCGCATGATGCAACTGGTGTGAGGTGCGTCCAGTTTGCTCGGTCTGGGAAGTGTCGATTTGGTGACAGGTGTGTCTTCGAGCATGGTGTTCCGTTGGAAAAACAGAGGCCAAGCTCTCCAAGGACGCCCCCAAGGGATGGTCCAAGGAGAAAGTCTGGTGCAAATGGTGGAGAAAAGGAGATCTCTCCTGAACAGTTCGATGATGATGAGGAGGATTTTATGGTTTATGACGAAGAGACCAAGATGACGGAACTGTTGATGGAGGCGATTTCATTTCTCTCCGGTGGCAAGCCAGATTTGGCTCGAGCAGAGGCGGACCCATTGTTCAAACTCCTGAAGTTCACTGGAGATGCTGACCAAATGGATCAAGTATGGGTTTCGTGGACCACTGAAATGTTGTCCGTGCTGGAACTTCTCGAAGTAGTGAAGTCGTATGAGGTTTCGCTCGCGGAGGTGGAAGAATGGGTCAATGACCTGAGGATATGGTATGAGCGAGCCAATTTGGGAGAGGAAAAGGATCCCAAAAGAGGTAAAAAGAGATCCCTAGAAAGGGAGTCCAGCAAGGATATTCCTGCCGAAAAAGGAGTGGTTGAGACTTCGGAGACGGAGGTTGCCGTTGAAGAAGAGAAGAAAAAGGTAAAAAAGAAGAGGAAAGCTGCAGCTATCGAAGATCCTTACACTCTCATGGTTCCAAAGCCGAAGAAGATGCCGACGATCATTGAGAAGGGTGGATCAACATCCAATGTGGTGGCTTCTGCAGTGGAAAAATCCTCGAAGACGCGCACAAAGTCAAATGTCGGTGGAAAGACAAAGAAGAGGGAGAAAAGTCAGAGTCCCAAAAAAGAAGAGGTGGTAATGGTTCAAGATCCTGAAGAAAAGGATCGTCCATCTGATGCGGATGCACCAGGGTCTGTCACTGCGAATGAAGAGCTGGGTCAATCTTGCCAGGCGATTGAGGACGCAAAGAGAGAAGGATTGGTATCCTCAATTCAAAGGGGCGTACAGGATCCTGTTCTTACAGTTTCGGACCTGGAGTATATTCTGCTGCAACTTCACCTCAAGATTGCCAACAATCGGAAAAAGAAGTGATTGGATGGTATGGATGAAGGGATAGTTTTTCTCTTTCTGGAGACGGGTGCGCTGGAACAGCCAATGTGCTGACAATGTGGTGGTTACTATTAAGGGTATGGAAATCCCTGATAGTAGAAGTCAGTAGCTTTTCGCGTAGCGAAGACCACGGTTTGTGGTGAAGAAGGCCAAGGAGTCTTCAGTGATGAGAGGATCATGGTGAAAAAAGATTCTCTATGGGTAGTAGGTTAGCCAATGTGCTATAATTCCGTCCTGGAAGACGTTAAACCACAACTTGCATTTCAAGCAGCTGGCTGCTGCCTTAATGGCAGTTTTTGGCCGAAAGACCTGCATCTCCAATGTGTCCTAGGAAATCCTAGGACAGGGGGAGTGCGGAGCTGCAATTGGTATTGTAGAAAGGAGTTAGTGTTGGAAGTTGAAAGGGTTAATGAACCCGTAAACTATGTTTGGCTCAAGGATGGCCAGCCCGTCCAAAGAAAAAAGTCCGTGTTTGGGAGTGAGGGTTGGGTTAGTGCCCCTCTACCTGTGTAAGGGTGCCCCTTCCTTGTTGCTCTTATCCGTGTTCTTGGTTGTTTCTTGGTTCGATCTGGGAAATATAAGTTCAGGGCGATTAGGGGAGTTGATTTCCTTCCTTGGTTGTCCCCCCGTATAGGGTTTAGGGTTTAGGGTCTAGGGTCCACCGACCCTGGCGGTGTGTTGGATGGGAAAAGGAGGTGAAAACCTCCCTCTTTCCCTCCTTACCCCCCCCCAAAACGCGGGGGGGTGGGGGGGTCCCCACACACTTCTCGAAGTATGGCCACCCCCCAGCCCCCCCCTTACCGCACCCACCCACCCCCCCCCCCCCCCCCCCCCCCCCCCCAAACCCCCCCCCCCCCCCCCCCACCCCCCCCCGCACCTCGTTTAAACCTTTCAACTATGCTCCAGCGGGGTCGGCGGCTTGAGCCGGAGGCTCTTAATTTAGGGTTTAGGGTTGCCCTAAGACACCTCCCAGAAATCAGCCGTCTCATGCTCACGATTTGAACTGCTAGAGCCCAAACAACCTACTCAACCCCCAAGTCCCCGAATGGCCCAAACACCCCAAAGAACGCCGCAAACCACGAAGGCCCCAACCTCCGAAATCCCCCAAAAACTTGTGAACCCTAAACCCTAAACCGTAAGCCCTAAACCGTAAACCCTAAACCGTAAACCGTAAACCACAAACCGCAAACCGCAAACCGTAAACCGTAAACCGCAAACCGTAAACCCTAACCGTCGCATCTCTTAGTTTCCCCAGAAGAGAGGGCAGCAAGGGAGGCTGAGCCATCCACTTCCACGCCTTCTCGTTCCAGTCGCCCTCTGCACCGGCTGGGATATCCTGGGCTTCTTGAAGGATTTAGGGCTTAGGATTTAGGGTCTAGGGTGTAGGGTTTAGGGTTTAGGGTCTAGGATTTGGGGTATAGAGTTGGGAGCTTTGTGTGCAGCGCTTTCGACTAGAAGCAACGTTGGGTTTAGGGTTTTGGACTTGCTTAGGGTTTGGGGTTTGAGTTTAAGGGTTTGGGTCGATTCTAGGTTCGCAACAAGTGATATCCGGCGAGGCCTTGGGCCGGAGGTGTATAGGTTGTGAGAACAGGCACCCCCCTCCAAATCCCCCCACACCCAAAACCATTTTTCGCCTCAAATGGGTACCCCCACCTAGGAAACCGGGGTCCGCAAGCGGACGGTTGGCCAGGACCCCCCCTTTCCCGACCCCCCCTTCCCCCCCCCCTACCCCCCTACCCCCCCCCCCCCCACCCCCCCGCTACCCCCCCCCCCCCTTACCCCCCCCCCTCCCCCCCCCTGCCCAAAACCACTACAAAACATTGGTGAGCGGGCTTTCGAGGCTCAACTTGGTGTGAGCACGGCCGGGGATGCATTACACGAGCCGAAGAGTCTAAGCTTGAACCTAAACCCTAAACCTTAAACCTTAAACCTTAAACCTTAAGCCCGAAGCACTCAACCCTCAAACCTTCAACAAACCCCCCCCCCTCCCCTGCCCCCTCCCCCCCTTCCCCCCTGCCCCCCTTCCCCCCCCACCCCCTCTAACCCCCCCCCTGAGGGGCCTGGCTCAACCCTACGATCAATCCAAGCCGAACCGTCTCTAACCCTAAACCCAAAAAAACCCTAAACCCCAAAGCGTGAACCTTGAGCCCTAAGCCCTCAATCCTAAACTAACCCTCAACCCTAAACCCCAAACCATAAACCATAAACCCGGAACCCTAAACCCTAAACCCAACCCTTATTGCTTGGGCATTTGTGCGCTGTCACGCGGGCGGAATCACCATGCTCGCGCGGATGCGCTGGGCCGGGCCGAGGCGGGTCGCGTAGCGTTAAAATTACAAACTCTGCAGCAATCGTTAATGAACCAAACAGGCTGCCCTTACTGGTTTCACGGCTTTTTCTTTTCATTCTCAGAAAGCCTATCCCCCAATAAAGATGATGAGGGTGCTACTGGGCCGCCTAGCCGAAGGGCTGAGGACCTGGGGTAGCTCAGGTCTTCGGGGTAAGGGCACAAGGGACAGAAGGGCGCGGGTTTCGGACGTAGGGTTTAGGGTTTAGGGTTTAGTGTTTAGTGTTTGGGGTTTAGGGTTTAGGGTGTAGGGTTTAGGGTTTAGAGTTTAGGGTTTAGGGTTTAGGGTTTAGGGTTTAGGGTCCTAAGCCCCATAAGCCCTCAACGAGGGCCCTAAACCCTAAACCCTAACCCTAAACTCTAGACCCTAGACCCTAGACCCTAGACCCTAAACCCTAAACCCTAAACCCTAAACCCCATACGCAGGGCCCATAGGAACAAGGCCGGGCGTCGATGCCGCCGCAAAGGATGCCTGGCCTTGGCCAGGGGCTTTAGGGTTGTAAGGTTAGGACTTCAGGTGTAACTAGGGTTTTAGGGCATAGGGTCGAGGGTTTTAGGGCTTAGGGTTTAGGGTTTTAGGGTTTAGGGATTAGGGTTTGGGGCTTGGGGCAGAGTGGGGTGTAGGGTTCCGAAGAGTTTAGGCTACCAAGGGCTTGTGGGGCAATGGGGGGGGGCCTGCAGGGACCTCAAAACACGTGTGACCTGTAGCTGCTTGCTAACATTGCGGGCTCGTGCAAGCCTTTGAGGAACATACATTCGCGGAGGCCCGTGAAAGGGCAGACAATGTTTAGGGCTTATAAACCCCATGATGAGCCCCATAAACCCTATAAGAAAACCCCCCCCAGAAAAGACCTGTGGCCTCCCCAAGGTAGACCGACGGACAGCTGCTTCTCAGCATGCCAGGGAACTAAGTCCAGCGGGCTGTAGGGGTTGGGGATGAAGGGCTCAGGGTAATTTCGTAGGTTCCCAACTCGACTGAGGGCCTATGTTTGGGAGCTTCTCGCATTCTAGCTGAGCCCACCCACAAACCCGAAAAAACTTGAAACTCTGAGCCCGAAACTCAAACCTCAAACCCTAAACCCTACAACCTAAACCCTACACCCTAAACCCTACAACCCTGAACCCTCACATCACCTGCGTCCCAGCCGCCCGAGCCACTGCCGGAACATAGGCTGCTTCCAGAGCGTGGCCTCAGCGCAAAGGCGGCTGCTCTATCCCTTCTTTAGACCCCGCCCGGGTTTAGGGTTTAGGGTTTAGGGTTTAGGGTTTAGGGTTTAGGGTTTAGGGTTTAGGGTTTGGGGTTTGGGGTTTAGGGTAGCCTATCTTTGGGGACTCCTGAAAATCGGGGTACTTTTTCCGTTGTTTTTTGGTTTTTGGTGGGGGGGGGGTATTAGAGGTACGAACTGTCGATTTGACAAGCGTACGCCAGGTAGAGGGTGGGTTTGCTCGTAACCCCACAACCCTACTCAATTCGTTGGGTATACCCCCCGGCTTGATATCTGCCGCGGAGCGCATGGTCCTGTCCAGGACCCCAGGGCTACCCTGAAGGGTTTAGGGTTTTGGGGTTTAGGGTTTAAGGTTTAGGGTTTAGGGTTTAGGGTTTTGGGTTTAGGGTTTAGGGCTTAGGGTTTAGGCTTTAGGGCTTAGGGCTTAGGGTTTAGGGTTTAGGGTTTAGGGTTTAGGATTTAGGGTTTAGGGCTTAGGGCTTAGGGCTTAGGGTTTAGGGTTTAGGGTTTAGGATTTAGGGTTTAGGGTTTAGGGTTTAGGGTTTAGGGTTTAGGGTTTAGGGTTTAGGGTTTAGGGTTTAGGGTTTAGGGCAGGAAAATGCGCGGAACAGTGTACCCCAGAGTGTACCCCAGACAGCTTGCAAGTGCTTGCCCTGCCTTCCAGAGAACGAGTTCTGTTCATCTTGGGACATTCCCCCTTATACTAACAGCCCTTGATAGGGATTCTCGTAACCCCCAACTATACTCCCCATTAAGGACTGCTAGTACAAGGGGGGACATCCCAATGTTCATCCCTAAAGCTCGCCCCAACCAAAAACCCTAAGGCCTTCTCCCTCCTCGCCTCCCCCACCCCCTTCCTGCCCTCGCATCGCACTACAGCCCAAATGCCCAAAGCAAGTATAACAAACTAAACCCTGAAACCGAAACGCCTGCCCCCCTTCCTTCCTCTCAATAAAGCCCAAATGCCCAAAAACCATGAAACCAAACAAAACCCAAAACCCTAAACCCAAAACCCAAAAGCCCAAACCCTAAACCCTTAACCCTAAACCCTCCATCAGTTTTTTTTTTCCGAGCTCTTGGCAGCGACTTCGTCCAGGTAGAGCTCACTGACAGGGTAGACCTGGCGACGGCAGCATCCTTCCCCACAAAATCGGAGGGTTTAGGGTTTAGGGTTTGGGGTTTAGGGTTTAGGGTTTCGGGTTTCGGGTTTCGGGTTTCGGGTTTCGGGTTTCGGGATTGGGGTTTAGGGTTTGGGGTTTAGGGTGTCGGGTTTAGGGTCTAGGGCTGTGGTTCCGGGTTCGGGTTTGGGGGGTTCTAGATTTCCCAGCAACCGAGGAATACAAAGGAACCGCGATTTTGCTTGAACGAACTACCTGGCAAGCTAGACTAAAACACAAAAAGAAGGAACGACGGATCCTAAGACGAAACACCCTGCCCATTGGGAAACAACTTTCCAAAACGCATAGTCCGCCCTAATCCGAACGCTAAACCTTAAATATGTTTCGCCCCTGAAAACCCTAATCCCAAACCCTAAACCCTTAAGCCCTGAACCCTGAAACAGCCCCCCCCCCCCCCCCAACTGCCATGAATAAGGGATCATTTGAGGCCCTAGAGTCTAGGCTTACCTTCCAAACTTTGAATAAAAGTGTAAGCTTTCCAACCAAAACTCTCTTTAGGGTTAAGGGTTTAGGGTTTAGGGTTTGGGGTTTAGGGTTTAGGGCTTAGGGCTTAGGGCTTAGGGTTTAGGGTTTAGGGTTCAGGGTTTAGGGTTTAGGGTTTAGGGTTTAGGGTTTAGGGTTTAGGGTTTAGGGTTTAGGGAAGCTTCGGGCTTCGGACTTGACGCTACGACATCGACGCCGAGATCTGAAATCTGCCGGTGGCACCCGGCCCGGTATCCGGATCTTGAAGGCGCCTGGCGCCAGGAGTAGGCTCCCCGTTTGGGACGGGCATAAAAACGGTGCCTCTTTCGGTTGAAAGGGGCTTCTAAGGGAACCTAAACGGGGAATAAGGGCCTACTCTGGGTCCTAGGCTAGTGTTTTTCAGGTTGAAGCAGAAGGCGTTCAAGGGCTTAGGGCAAAGCTATGCCCCTCAGCCTTTCCCGACACCCCTGGCCTAAACAACACAGAGTCAACACAGCTGTAGGTTTTAGAGCACTCTTCCCTCATAAAAAGGGGCTACCATGGGCTACCATGGGCTCCCATGGGCTACCGCATGCGACCCCAGTAGTGATCATAGCTGTCGTGCCTGCCCCCTATATAAAACCACCACAATTCAAAAAAACTCCCGCAACGAAGGGCAACATCCCAAGCCTCCACCTTGAACCTTCTTTTCGACATCTTTGCACGACCAGACTCTGCAAATGGCTGGCCAAGATGCATAACCTTGCCCCTATGGGTTGGCCGAACGACGCGAAACTGTTTTCGAAGTTCCCTGATATGTAAACCCGTTACCCCCGAAACCCCAAGAGCCCCCCTCAACCCCTGAAACCCCAAAAAGCCCCCCAAAACCCCTGAAACCCCAAAAAGCCCCTAAACACCCCCAAAGCCCGAAGCCCCAACAACCCTACATCGTGGCCTGCAACCCCAAAAAACAACCTAAACCCCCACAAACCCCTAAGCCCTCAGCCCTAAACACTAAACACTAAACACTAAACCCTAAACCCTAAACCCTAAACCCCACATCGCGGCTGCCTTGGAAGTAGCGCTCAAAGGTGTCCATCTGTAAGGTCGCCTCGGGGAGCTCTCGGCTTCAAGGTTCAAGGGTTCTTTTGGGGGCTTCTGAGGGGTTTGGGTTTAGGGTTTAGGGTTTAGGGTTTAGGGTTTAGGGTAGGGTTTAGGGTTTAGGGTTTAGGGTTTAGGGTTTAGGGTTTAGGGTTTAGGGTTTAGGGTTTAGGGTTTAGGGTTTAGGGTTTAGGGTTTAGGGTTTAGGGTTTAGGGTTTAGGGTTTAGGGTTTAGGGTTTAGGGTTTAGGGTTAGGGTTTAAGGTTTAGGGTTTAGGGTTTAGGGTTTAGGGTTTAGGGTTTAGGGTTTAGGGTTTGGAGTTTAGGGTTTAGGGAGCTTAGGAAGTACCGGAGATTACTTTTCCGATCATACTCTTGTGCTTCGCGGGTTTCAATGCACCTGGGCATTTAAGACTTTTTTCTTCCAGGGCTTTCGTTCTTCATGGTTCTCGTATGCAAATTTCCGATGAAATTCGTTCGCTTCGCTAGTATTTATGCCGAAATGACCGCCGAAATCCCGGCACCCAGGTGTTGAAATTACTTGTCTTGAAGCTGTCCTACTTCACGTGTGTTTTGCTAGTTTTCATCCCTTTCATCGCAGATGTGCGCGGTAACATGTTAAAACAAAGCGGATCCTTCCAAGGCGGTCATTTGGGGATTTACGAAAATAAGGGACCCTTAGTATAGACCCAAAAATAGTAGGATTCCCTGAAAATAAGGACCCCAAGAAATTACCCCCTCAGGGGTCAATGGGCAAAGCTACTCCCTGCAGTACGTTGCAAGGCTGGTGCTTAAAATTCTAGTGTGTTTTGGGCCAACGCGCACGGCTACTGCCTGCCGCTTGTCACGGACGTCGAAACAAAAACGTGTTCACAGGTGACGAATTGTCTGAGAAGGCTTAAGCGTGTTTCCAAGTTGCAAGTGCTGGAAAGGTGTTGAGCCAAATCTTGGCTGCACTCAGGAGGGTAGCTAGAAATTAAACTTTTAGCTGCCTTATTCAGAAACCCAATAAACCCAAAAAGGGCAAGGATCTAAAGTTACGGTAAAGTACCACAAAGAAATTATTGTTCTTGAACCCAGCAAGGCAGGAGCATCATGAGCATTTGTCTGGTCGCAGCATCCCCTCTTCGGCACTGTCTTGGGCACACGTGGCAGGGGACCTGTCAGGATCCGACCCTGTGCTGTGATATGGGGGGCCCAAATAATTAGAATAGGTATCTGGGGGGGTATTATAGGAATTACAATAATAGCTATTCATTTAAAAATATGTCGGTTCTATTGCTTTTTGGATTTGGGGAATCACAAGATAAGGGCAGATTTGCTCAGAATGGGTATTGCATTTGGGGCTTGACTATATAAGGACTCCAAGAGCAAAGCGGAAGCCGCAAGCAACCCTCAAAGCCATAATCGTAGCCCCTAACAAGTTCTGGGGCGCCCGGCACTCATCAGCATCAACCTCGACAAGAACAACTTCGTCCATAAGGGCATGGAGATTAGGGTGTGGCCTTTGGGGTGTATCGGGTTCTGGGTCTAAGGCATTGTAGAAACCGTCACGAGAGCCAGGGGGGTTGCCCTACGTTGAAGGGGTTTCTGAAGGCCAATGGAACGTAGCAAGTAGGTACGTAGTCAGGTTGTTGTGTTCGGCTAATTCTGACTTTGGATTCCTACAAACACTACTCATCATCTACTATTCTCAACCCAAAACCCTAGAATATAAGCGCAAACCGGAAGTCTCAAACCCTAAAGTTAGCTGAGCCCTGAAGTAGGCACACAGGGTAGGGAGCAAAAAGCTCTCGAAACCTCTATCCGAAGGAACCTAATGAAGCTCGAGGGTTTAGGGTTTAGGGTGTAGGGTGTAGGGTGTAGGGTCCCCAAGCATGAATATCCTAAGCATCCCACCTCCCACAACGAGTAAACTTCACAGACCCTTCCTAAGCCTGCACACCGACTCGGGCCTACACCCCGAAGCACTGCGTGCCTCAAGTCAGATCTCCTGGCGAGGAGGTCTCGCACGAAGATCCTTCTCCAAGCTTCGGGTTGAGGGGTTGAGGGTTTTAGGGCTTAGCCCAGTTCGAGGTAGGCCCTTGGGATATTTGCTATTTTCCTTTACGGTTTAGTGTTTAGGGTTTAGGGTTTAGGTTTAAGGTTTAGGGTTTAGGGTTTAGGGTTTGGGGTTTAAGGGTTCAGGGTTTAGTTTTTCGGGTTCCCCCAATCCTAAACCCTCAACCTAAGAAGACAAAATCAATCACATGCCCCGGGCTCAGAGGAGGAAAGCCTTCTTGGAAGTGTAGGGTGAGGGTGTTCGGTCTACTTACTGTGCCAGGTTGCGATGTTCCCCCCTCTTCAAACAGCTCCTTAACAGGGATTCTAGTAACCCACCCTAAACCCTAACCCTAAACCCTAAGCCCTAAACCCTAAACCCTACCACAATCCCTTTTCAGCACTGTTAGTATACGGGGAACATCCCAAGTGCTAGGAGTTTTGCTCGCTGGGGATGAAGAGGATGTCTATGGAGGGCCCCTTCGCGGCGTACTTGTTAGCAGACCACGTTTCTGGGTAGGTTCCCCTGACCGGCGCGCCCATTTTCGGGTATACGGAACCCTCATAAGAAGGACTCAATATTAAGGCCTGGCCCGAATTTAGAGAACTGTCCACAGAACTGTCGCTCCGGAAACGTCGTGTGCTTCTCCTAAAAAACCATTCATGAAGAGAATCCCTGTCAAAGCAAGGCTGAACCTATCACCTACGTAGTCTCTCCTTGTGGGAAAGGGGGAAGTAGGGGGGCCCTAGACACTTTAAAGCCTGAGTTTGCCTGTATACAGGTTGGGAACTCATCTCCCTGAATAGCTCTCAACACTATTGGGCACCCAGGCCGTTCTACAACAGGGACCAACCAGGAGACCCTAGTTTCACGAACTGACCATGACTAACTCCCTAACCCCAAAAACAAAAACAGCGTTCTTTGGATGGCGTTGTTGGGGTGACGTTCTAGGGATCGTTTTGGGCACAACCCAGGAGAACGAAAACCCCTTCACTAAGGAATGCACTCGAAAGCATTAGGATCCTTCCCATGATGTTTCTCAGTTCAGGGGTTCTGGGGCCCCCCTTAAACCACTGAACCCTAAACCCTAAACCCCAAACCCTAAACCCTAAACCCCAAACCCCAAACCCTAAACCCCAAACCCGAACCCTCGGCGCCCTTCAAAGAAGATTGCGGCTGAGAGTCATGTTGAAGTCTGCGAGCTTGTCCCTCTCATGGACCTGGCTCAGGACCAAACGGTTTAGGGTTTGGGGTTTAGGGTTTAGGGTTTAGGGTTTGGGGTTTGGGGTTTAGGGTTTAGGGTTTCGGGTTTAGGGGGCCCTGGGCAGAGTACGGAATTTTTCATAGATACTGCTACAGTACCAATGGGTTCACTTCAAAAGGAACCCAAAGCCTAAACCCTAAACTCTACGCCCTAAGCCCGAACCCTAAACCCTGAACCCTTAACCCCATGTTTGTATGTTAAGTGCCAGTAGTCCAGAGTGGGGTCCTTGATCCCTCGCAAGCCCGAAGTCTTCAGTCTAAACACGCTGATGGGGCTTGTGGGGTTTATGTAGGGTTTATGCAGGGTTTATGTGTTTATGTAGGGTTTGGTAGGCTTATGCGAGGTTTGTATAGGGCTGTTGGGGTCTGTAGGGTTTATAGGGTTTGCAGGGAGGGGTTTACAGGACTTATGGGGCTTCTTGGGCTTCTTGGGCTTGTGGGGCTTGTGGGGTTCGTAGGGTTTGTAGTGTTTGTTGGGTTTGCAGGGTTTGCAGGGTTTGTAGGGTTTGTCGGGCTTATGGAGTATACAGGGCTAGCCGACAACACAACTACAATACCTTAAGCCCAAAGCAACTGCGCCCTCATGCCCCCCTTCAAAGCCATCGAAGCTCTCCCTCCCGAAAACCACCAAGCCACAAGAACAAGTCTGGGGGGGGTTAAGGGTTTAGGGCTTAGGATGCTTCAGGGTTAGGATCTCCACCCTGCAGCCCCCCCCCCCCCTGCTTAAACCATTTTTCAAGGCGTAAGCCCGAGCCTCGTCGAAGATGATGTGAGTCACACCGAGGAGGTCGGGATCGTTCAGAAGCCGGCGTCGAAAAACCTGGGGGGGGAAGGAGGGGAGCCGTAAACCCTAAATCCTAAAACCCTATAGGGAGAGCGCTTTCGGGCTAAAGGTTTCAGGGTTTTGGGGTTTAGGGTTCAGGTTCCAAGGTTTAGGGTGCGGACGTACTACTACACCCTAAACCCTAAACCCCTAAACCCCCAGACCTCTAAACCCCTAAACCCCTGAACACCCCTGAACACCCCTGAACACCCCTGAACACCCCTGAACACCGCTGAACACCCCTAACCACCCCTAACCACCCCTAAACACTCCTAACACCCCTAAACACCCCTGAACACCCCTAAACACCCCTAAACACCCCTGAACACCCCTAAACCCCTAAACCCTCAACCCCTACACCCCTAAACCCCTACACCCCTAAACCTCACCTCCCAAACCAACCCCGAACTTGTCACAGGTCAGGTGTGTGGAGATGGCGTGGCCTTGATTGGGAATGGCCTTCGGGGGTTTTGGGGTTACGGCATTCGGGGTCTGTGGGGTCTTTAGGGCTTCTGGGTTTGTAGGGTTGTGGGTTTGTAGGGCTTGTAGGGCTTGTAGGGCGTGTAGGGCGTGTAGGGTGTTTGAAGACAGTTGTTGGCGGCAGCACTCAAACACAGGGATCACCTGCACATTTGTCAAGCGCCCATGCTAGGCTTTCTGAGACGGTTCCGAGCCTGCGCGTGCTCTAAACCATGCTTGTTTTCGTGAAATTACCGGTGTACGATGCCTGCTTGTATCTGCTGCTGCTTCGCCGTCAATCTCTTCTCCAGGCAGCAGAGCCTCGAATGGCCTCTCTGGGTTTGGGGTTTAGGGTTTGGGGTCAGGGTTTAGGGTTTAGGGTTTAGGGTTTAGGGTTTAGGGTTTAGGGTTTAGGGTTTAGGGTTTAGGGTTTAGGGTTTAGGGTTTAGGGTTCGGGGCTTTGGGTTGAGGGTTGAGGGTTGAGGGTTGAGGGTTGAGGGTTGAGGGTTGAGGGTTGAGGGTTGAGGGTTGAGGGTTGAGGGTTTAGGGTTTAGGGTCTAGGGTCTAGGGTCTAGGGTTTAGGGTCTAGGTTTAGAGTTTAGGGTTTAGGGTTTAGGGTTTAGGGTTTAGGGTTTAGGGTTTAGGGTTTAGGGTTTGGGGTTTGGGGTTTGGGGTTTAGGGTTTAGGGTTTAGGGTTAGGGTTTAGAGTTTAGGGTTTAGGGTTTGGAGTTTAGGGTTTAGGGTTTAGGGTTAAGGGTTTAGAGTTTAGGGTTTAGGGTTGAGGGTTGAGGGTTTAGGGTTTAGGCTCCGGCCGAGGAACGCCCAGGGTGCAGAACACCAGCCGCGCGCTCTCCGCGCGAGATCCGAAGGGCACCTCCACTTGCGCTTTTTGTGGGTCCCGAGGCTTCGAACCCTAAACCCTAAACCCTAAACCCCCGAACCCTAAGCCCTCAGCCCTAAGAACTCTGCACCACTATGAACCCTAAACGTAGGGCAACGCATGTTGGGTACTCACTGCTCCTAAAGCCCAGCCTAGACCCCCAAAACCCTAAAAACCTGAACCCAAAGGCCTTCTAAGAACTCGCCAAGAGCCTCCGAGCAAAAGAGCTGCCCATTTTTGGCATGGGTATTTGGGGGTCAATTTCGATATAAGGATTACAAGGGGAAAATGTTTCGATATAGGGATTACAAGGGGAAAATGTTTGTCTCAAACCCCAACCGGTGAGCTGATTCGATCGCGCAGCCCAGCCACGAGCATTCATGACGCTGGCTTGGCAGTGCCACGTTGAAGTTGGGGGAGGCGGGCGTAGGACTGCATGCATCGCACGCAGCCGGCGCTGGCCGCGTACAGACATTCGTATTCCAGCGCCCGCGCGTCATCTAGTTGCCCATGCTTTCGTCCACAGTTCGAGCAATGAGGCGCGGTGCCGGGTGGCCGCGGAGTGCCAGGCTCGCATAGTTAACCCCCTGGAAACCCTATACACCTTAGGAACGCAAAGGGAGTTCACAAAGCTCTGAAAAGAAAGTTTATCGGTGCTCACCGAGCTCTAAGTGCTGAGAGGTCAGCCAGCCTCAGCTTTAAGAAACAAAGGCCGAGGGCCGAGAGCGCTCTGCACGTTAAGCTCCCAACCCCTAGGCCCTGAACCCTAAACCCTGAACCCTAAACCAATCTCCCCAGTTGCTCTTTAAGGGTGGCTCTCCCTACAGTGCCAACGGGTTTTTTTTTCAAAACCAGGATCTCAAAGGTGCCAATTGTTCAGGGATATATCTTGCATAGCCCCTTTATGCCGAAGTAGCCCCCAGTAGAGGGAGAAAAGCCTAACTATAGTCCCTTGAAGCCTAAGTAGCCCTTACATTCCCCTTAAGGTCCCTTTATAAGGGTCCCTCGGCTAGTCCCCTTGCCCTTTTAAACTGCACCCACCGCCCCAAGAATACCTCGAGCTGGTGCTTGGTTGTAGTTGCCTGTGGATGTGAGGTCGATGTCATGCCAGCTCGAATGCACCGACCCAAAAAACCTGACCCTAAATCCAAAAGGGCCCACCCCTGAGCCCTGAGCCCTGAGCCCTAAACCCGAAACCCTAAACCCTAAACCCTAAACCCCAAACCCCAAACCCTAAACCCTAAACCCTAAACCCTAAACCCTAACCCTAAACCCTAAACCCTAAGCCTGGCCTGGAACCCGACGTCCTCGCCTAAGGATTGGCAGCGCTCCGCGGCGATCCGCTCCTTGAAATTGCGCAGCATTGGGGGTTTAGGGTTTAGGGTTTAGGGTTTAGGGTTGGGTTTAGGGTTTAGGGTTTAGGGTTTAGGGTTTAGGGTTTAGGGTTTTGGGTTTTGGGTTTTGGGTTTTGGGTTTTGGGTTTTGGGTTTTGGGTTTTGGGTTTTGGGTTTTGGGTTTTGGGTTTTGGGTTTAGGGTTTAGGGTTTAGGGCTAGGGTTCAGGGTACGGGTTTAGGGCGGTTTAGGGTTTCAAGGTTTTGGGGTTTTGGGGGTTTAAGGGTTTAAGGGCTTAGGGGTTTTCAAGCTTTAAGGGTTTAGGGCTAAGGTGCTTAGGGGGTTTCGAGGATGCGATGCCCTTGAACCCAAACCACCCAAAAACCAACAGCTCCCCAAATGTCGAAAACCCTACATCCCCAATCCCTCCCCCAACCCTAATCCCTGAACCCTAAATCCTAAACCCTGAACCCAAAACCCTAAACCCTAGTGAGCCTGAGGCCCGTGCTGCCAGGGTCGTGGCCGCGATTTTCCGCGGCTGCATTACGAGTATCTGCGCCTGACAAGGGCTTAGGGTTTAGGGTTTCGGGTTCAGGGTTCAGGGTTCAGGGTTCAGGGTTTAGGGTTTAGGGTTTAGGGTTTAGGGTTTAGGGTTTAGGGTTTAGGGTTTAGGGTTTAGGGTTTAGGGTTCGGGGCTGAGGAGGGTGCTTCGAAGCCCTGTTCGATACCTCCTAAAGCGCTAGGCCCCTCAACCCGACCAACATGAAGCCTTAAATCCAGCCCCAAAACCTGATGCTTCCCCTCAACCCTCAACCCTCAACCCTTAGCCCTTAACCCTAAACCCTCAACTGATAACCTGGGAAGCCCTAAGAAATCCTAAACCTGACTTGCGTTGGAGGCCTTGGAGGTCTCAACCCTCAACTCTCAACTCTCAACTCTCAGCCCTACTTCTTACACCCTAAACCCTAAATCCTAAACCCTAAACACTAAACCCTAAACCCTAGACCCTAAACCCTAAACCCTAAAACCCAGACCCTAAACCCTCCTTTTCCGGGTTCCTGTGAGACCTCCACTTGTATTTAGGGATTCAAGGGTTTAGGGTTTAGGGTCGAGGGTTTAGGGTTTAGGGTTTAGGGGTATATGGATATTCCCCCAGAACAGTTTGCGGGGCTAATCCCTCTCTCCAAAGCACCGCGAGCAGCCGGTTTTCTTGCCCAGGGACTCTGGGTTGGGATCCCTGGTTCGCCTGGACCCACTCAGGAAAAAAAGGGGCTTAGGGTTTGGGGTTTTGGCCGTCGGGGTTTTGGAGTTTTGGGGCTTTGGGGTTTTGGGGTTTTGGGGTTTTGGGGTTTTGTGGTTTTGGGGCTTTTGGGGGTTTAGGGTTCACTCTTAAGGCTTGGGATCTTTTCGGGTCAATGGTCCAGCATGGTCTGCGGCGGCGTCGTAGGCGATGCCGGCCGGGGTTCTGGCTCCAAAGAAATCGCTTCAGAACTGGTTTTGAGTTCTGGTGCTGGACCCCCAAATCAAACAGAGGATTTAGGGTTTTGGGTTTAGGGTTTAGGGTATCCACAACCCCACCCAGACCCAAAAAAGATCCAACATCGGTCTGTGTGTTTAGAATTATGGGCGCAGTGCTTTGAGCAGGCCCCTAAACAGCTGAACCCTCCTTCCCCGGCATCGCCAGCATTCGGGCAGGAGGCAAGGCTGCTTCGCAGCCGCGCCGCTGCCGGGGTACTAGCTACGGGCCTTGGTGCCACTCCGTAGGCTTGCTTAGGTCGAGACAAAGGGATGTCGATGCATACGAAAAGCCCGATGGTATAAGAAAAGGTCTACGCCCGAAACCTGAACTCTGGATCCTTGCTCCCCCCCCCCCCCCATCCGCCCAAAACAGCCTAAACTCTAAACCGGAATCTCTAAAGCCGGCATGCGGCTTTAGCGCTCAGAAGTCTTTGGGATTCGCAAGGTATACCTTGGAGCTGTCTTCTTTCGGGCCGGTGTCCACGCTGTCCCACAATGGCTGTACAAGGGTGGGGACTCGGGCAGCCCCTAAACCCGAAACCCGAAACCCTGAACCCTCAACACCCTAAACACCCTAAACACCCTGAACACCCTAAACACCCTAAACACCCTAAACACCCTAAACACCCTAAACACCCTAAACACCCTAAACCCTGAACCCTGAACCCTGAACCCTCAACCCTAAACCCTGAACACCCTAAACAACCTAAACACCCTAAGCCCTGAACCCTAATTCTGACTTTATGGTCACAAGGAGTCTTTGCTCCCTTAAACCCTAAACCCTAAACCCTAAACCCTGAACCCTAAACCCTAAACCCTAAACAACGGGCTCCGACGACTACAGATCGAACGGATGGGCGCTGCTTCCATGCTGGCGAGCTAAGGCGAGTCAGAGCTCTCAGGGTTTAGGGTTTAGGGTTTAGGGTTTAGGGTTTAAGGTTTAGGGTTTGGGGTTTAGGGTTTAGGGTTTAGGGTTTCGGGTTTAGGGTTTAGGGTTTGGGGTTTCGGGTTTAGGGTTTGGGGTTTCGGGTTTAGGGTTTAGGGTTTGGGGTTTAGGGTCTAGGGTTGAGGGTCCCTAAACCCTAAACTCTCTGAATTCCTAAAACCCCAAAAACACTAAATCCGTAAACCCCTCAATCCCTGAACCTCTCAGCCGCCTTGGTTGTTTGGATAGCTGAACCCTCAACCCAACGCTCTAAACTCCGAACTCTGATATCAGAAAGCCCGCATACTCATCGTACATTTTTTCAAGTGCCAGCGGATGTGCTGCAAAACCACCCACCACAAGAACCCAGGGTCAGAAGGACAAGGTTTTGGGTCCCTAAACCCTAAACCCTAAGCCCTAAACCCGAAACCCTAAACCCTAAACTCTAAACTCTAGACCCTTAGGGGTGCCAGAGCGCCAGTCTGCGGGAGCTCACAGCCGGAAGACCAGCAACCGCAGGATAAGGAGCCTATCTTTCCTTTTTGGTCCTGTTAGGCGAGCTAGGGTTTAGGTTTTAGGTTTTAGGGTTTAGGGGTTCAGGGTTTTGGGTTTTGGGTTTTGGGTTTAGGGTTTAGGGTTTAGGGTGGGGGCTTATGGGTAGGGTCTCCGGTCAGAAGTCAAAGGGTCTCGTTTCTAGGCCTTGAACGCATGCTCGCGGCGCGAAGGCATGAAGCAGGCTTCCGGTGCGCACGCCCATGTGGCCAAAGGGGTCTGAAACGCCTGGTGAGACGCAGACCCTGGGGCCTTGCTCCGTGTTGGGCTACCCCTGAATGAAGACACACGCCTTGAACTAAACTCGGGGTCCTTATTCTGAACTCAGCAGTCAGGATAAACTACATGATCAGGGGTCCTGGTTATGAACTCTGGCGTCAGGAGTGTTGCTTAACTGCCACAAAATACAAAATTAAGGGTCCTTCCTACGAACTCAGGAGTCTTGCCTAATAAAAACAAGAGCCATAGTAAACATGAAACTAGACCCAAGAGTAACCTGTGAATAAAACAGGAGCCCTTTTTGGCTTAACGGGCTGATAAGGGAACCTGTACCCTGAAAACAGGCAATAAGGGCCTGCCCTGGGTCCTAGCTGTCCTAAACCCTAAACCCTAAACCCTAAGCCCTAAACCCTAAACACTAAACCCTAAATAATAGCAACAACCATAGGCATCGGGCTCTTTTCGGCCAGCGCCCGCAGAGCAAGCACCTCAGCCAGCCGCTTCGGATGTGGCGTAGTCGGACAGCTCCTTGAGGTCTTCCCCTTGGCATGCACCCCGGTGCAGGGCTAAGTGGGGTTTAGGGTTTAGGGTTTAGGGTTTAGGGTTTAGGGTTGAGAGTTGAGGGTTGAGGGTTGAGGATTGAGGGTTTAGGGTTTAGGGTTTAAGGCCGTACCTAGAAGGCGTAGTTTTCCGGGTTCAATCTACAAGCAAAGCTGTAGCATCACCAAGAATGTCGTGGCCGGGGGGGGGGGGGGGGGAGGAGGGAGCTTGCAACGCGGTCGTCCTTGTGATAAGCTTCTGTCTCTTGCCACTGAAGACAGCAAGGCAACGATGAAGCCCCACTTCTCATCATTCGCGGTGTTCTTGCTGCCCTTCTTGTCATCATCGTCGCCGGTGGGTGCTTGTAGTTAGTCATCAATTTGCCCGGTTCTTGTGCAACTCGTTTTTTTGGTTACTTGCTGGTGTCAGACATCGCCTGCGTGGACTCAATGGAAATGTTCAGCCCAAACTTCTTCTGTGTCGTCAGAGAGCCACTGATGACAAGTCAACACCCTTGGATGACTTGGGGACATTTGCAAGGGTGTCGGTCTTTTTTTGCGGTAGGCAGGGGGAGTAAGGGTTTTTGATGCTGGGAATTTGAGGAGAGATGCAGAGTTGGGCATGTTCTGGTTCACGGAAACTATATGAAGAGTTTGGGGCTCAACCTTTCACAGAACCTGTGTTTCTGGGCTGCAGTGCCGGTGCCATCAAGTTCACGCACACTTGACTGCTCAGGGGGCTTAGAACAGGTTCTTAAGTAGGCATACAAGTCCCTGAGCTAGCTGCATCTGATAGCAACCTGATCTATGCCCTAGTCCGGCTCCTCTGTGTATCAACACGATGCATCTCTTTCTCCACGACCGTGGGGGGCGACACGAAGCCCTCCTAAACCAAAAACCCCAGCACGAAAGGCAAAGGTTGTCACGTCCTGAAGCCTCCAATCACCCGAGGTCAAATAGTGTCCCTTTGGACTACCCCTTTCGGGTGAATGTTTGAGGGATCACATGAAACCAGCAACCCTAAACCACGAACCGGCCCTACCCTAGTTCACCCTAAATCCTGAGCCCTGAATCCTGCCTCCCTAGGCCTAATCCCAAAACTCGGCGCGTGACGCGTGACCGCTCGCCCCCTGCGACAACCCACTTGAGCGGCTTTAGGGGCGAGGGCCTCCAACAACAATCCATGGGTTGGTGTGCGTAGCAAATGCAAGGGATGCCTGAATCCAAAACCCTAAACTTCGCAAGCGATAGGTTGCAAGTAGGTAGGGTAATGACTACCTTTAGGGGTTCTAGAGTTTCAGGGTTGCTAGGGTTTCGGGCTAAGGGGCTTGGGGGTTTCAGGGTTTGGGGTTTAGGGCTCAGGGGCCTAGGGGTTTAAGGGTTTAGGGCTTCTAGGTGTTAGGGCTTCTAGGGTTTCGGGGTTCGGGCTTGCAGTTGGGTCACTTCCGAAGTGCTGACTTGCATCACTGGCACGTCTCGGAAGGACTTAGGCTTTAGGCTTTAGGCTTTAGGACTTAGAGGGTTTGGACTCAGGGGTTGGGTTCAGGGTTTGGGATTTCAGGCCCAGAAATGGAAGCTCTATCGAACCCAAAACCGTACTTCACAAACCTAAACCCTAAACCCCAAACCCTAAACCCTAAACCCCAAACCCCTGAATACCGAAAGCCCTCCGAACACCTTCGATCGTCAGAGCCCAATGAGAAACCAGCCCCGGACGAGGAGAATAGTGAAAGCCTACCTAACCCTAACTTCATAAACCCCCGAAAGCCCCAAACCCTCAGAAACATCCTA